GCTTGGGCTACAAAGTGAGTTCAAAACCAACCTGAATTGCATAGTGAAACAAACAAAAAATATGCCAGGTTTTACCTGTTTATAGGTACAGTGACGCCGCTGTTCACGAATACTCCTGTTTCTGAACAATTTGGTTCATGAACAGAGCATTCTGCAAAATTTTACTTCCGTTTACGAACTCTTCATAGGGCGGTGAACACGACTGTATCCGTCTTCCCTGCGCAAACAGCAATTCAACCATCTTCTCCAGAACCATGGAACAATTAAGTTTGTGGACTGAGGTACCACAGTGTTTGCTGGTATAAGTTTCCACCTCAGTGCAGATTTAGCATCTCCCAGTAGATTTGGGGGGTGCTCTGTGTGTGTGTGTGTACGTGTGTGAGAAACCAGCTCATGTTTAATTGTAACATTTTAAAGTTGTACTTGTGTCTGGCCACCTGCCCTCCCTCCCGTATTTAGTCTGTTAAAATGACAGGAGGCGTCACTGATAGAAGTAAATGTGGCAAAGCTGGCTGGAGAAGTGGGTGGGGCCTGTCTATTGCAAGATCGCAAGGCAGCGCCAGCTGGTTTTCAGGACCCTGCCTGTCAAACTTCCCTCAGGCTCCCAGGAGATGTGGACTGCATGAAAGAGAGCAGACACCACAGGAGGCCCACCGTTGTGACTCTGCCTAAAAGCCCACCCTGCGTCTCCTAGATGCAGAGTGCACTTTTTTTTTTTCTTTTTTTGGTCTTTTTTTTGAGACAGGGTTTCCCCATGCACTTCAGGCTGGGCTTGAACTCACTTTGTAGCCCAGGCTGGCCTTGAACTCATAGCAATCCTCCTACCTCAGCCTCCCAAGTACTGGAATTACAGGCGTGTGCCACCACACCAAATGGAATGGATACATTGGTGTGTGTAAGCAAGCAGGGACAGCGTACCCAATGTATTCCCATGCACAGTTTCATGAGATAAGTGCAACACAACACTTAGAACTTTGGGAATGTTTTAGGGAGTTCAGTGCAGAAAGTTGTTTTCTTGGTTATACACTGGTATTACATGATCACTTTTATGTTTGCTTTTTTTTATTCTTTTTTTTTTTCACTCCACAGAACCAGTTCTTCCCTTACCTCTTCACCCTTTGTTTTTCAAATAAATTTTAGCACCGTTTTTTGGCTTGTCTTGACCAATTCTTTGCTCAAGGCAAGAAGGACCTGAAATTAGTTTAACTGAGGAGCCATTTCTAAAGCAACTACCTGACAACATCACCACTCACAGGTTTAGTGGGTTTAGTTAAGTACACCTTTTCAGTTCCCACTTACAGCCCCCAGTGGCCAACAGCAAAGTTCAGCCTTCAGGGTTGAAAAGTTCGGGTTCTCTGAGTATCCTCCCTTACAGCAGCACTTAGCCAGAACTGGTACCTTCCCATGGTTTCAAGGAGGAGAGATAAAATTACTCCTCACAGCCTAGCTGATCAGGCTATGAGGACTTTCCCTCTGTCCCATCTCTTCAAGCTCTTTTATATTTCTCTTTTTCTTTTTTTTACAGTAGAGCAAGAGAGATCAAAACCTAACCCAAGTTATAAGAAATGACAGTGGTGGATGTCAAGGGAGTGAGCAGGAGCAACTGAGATATCCTTTAGCTCGCATACCAATGTATGTACTTCCCAGAAAAACAACAAATCCACAAACCACAACAACTAGAATTCCAAAAATCCACCCATCTGAGGATGCTAGTATTGCAGAACAAGTACTGAACCCAATGGAAAACGCTCTGCACCAAGGAGTTGGAAGGCAGCCAAGTTTATTACGCCAGTGGGCTGATGGGGGATCGCTCCCAAAGCGTCAGCTCAGAGCCTGCTTTGGGCTTAGTTTCTACTGGTTTGCAAGCGGGAGATACAAAGGCTGGTGAACTTATATTGGGTGGCATCAGTTATTCTTCCTTGCTGAGCAGAATGTCCTTGAAACAAGTTAGCAAACAGGCTATGTTTGGGGGCTGGAAAGGACAGGCTGTGCAGCTGGGTGCGGTCACACTGAGCTAGGGCAGGTTATCTCTGCTTTAATCAGTCAAGGCTGAGGGAGTCTAACAGAGGAGCTACGGAGGCTGCATGATCTCATTTTGTCCTAATATGGTGTCTGACTGTTAGTTGATTTTGAAGTTTTTAAAATTTTCATGACACTAGAATGGGGCTGGGGATTTAGCCCAGTGGCACAGCACCTGCCTGGCAAGCGCGAGGTTGTGAGCTCGATTCCGGGTACCAGGGGGGGGAAAAAAGACACTAAAAGGCAGAAGGAACAGGTAGGAGCATAAATGGCATAGGGAATAAACAAAGTATTGGAGTCAGTCCAGGCACAGGGGCTGGCAGATGCTACAAAACAACTATAGAAAAACCTGTGGTCCATTCAGACTCGTGGTGATGCTGAGAATCCACACACTGGTGTCAGAAAGACTCTGCCTTATGTTCCTCAGAGACAACAATTCTTATTCTTTAGAGAGAAGGGGAAAGAAAAAGAGAATACGCCAAGGACCCTTAGCAGACTGGGTCCTGCCTTTCCAGGCCAGGGTAGGAAAACAGTAAAGCCTTGCCATAGCCTCCCTCCGACCCCACCCTATCCCCTTTGGAAGGCGGGTGACTTGGTGGCCTGCAGCAGCCTTCTGCTTGGCAGGAGATAGATGTGGAGAAGGGGACTTTTCTGCAGAGGCGGAGCTGCTCAGAGCAAGCCTGGGTTGCTCAGACCTCCTGCTTTAGGGAAGACCCCATGACAGCTCGAGGGGACCACCAAGGAAATGAGCTGCGATGGGAAAAGGCATGCTTTTGCAGGGGTCTTTGCTTCATAGGCACTGATGTGGAATACAGGAAAGAGGATGGAGAAAAGGCAGTACTTATAACATATGGGAAAGCCAAGGGCAGACCAAATCCGGAGCAGCAAGGCCAATTCCTTTCTATGTTTGGCAGTCACTGATGCATTTCAGTTCCTTTATTGAACCAATAATATTTGAAGAATTCCAGAGCATACAGAAGGGACATTGCGGGAGACTAAGCAACTAACCAACAAGAAGGATGGAAAGAGACTCGGAAACATCCCCTGGATAAGAAAGAGCCTGCAGCAGAAGGCTAAAGAGCATACCAGCTATTACTTTGCTGACACCAGGGAATGAGTGAGGCTTCTTCCCTGACACTTCAAAAGCCAGGTCAGTTGAATCTCGAAACCAAATGGCACTCATAACTTCACTGAGCACCACAGGGACTGTACCCCAAGAACACTGAGAGTTGACATGAGAGAAGAACTCCAGCCATGACCAAACATCTCCATGCAGTGATGGATCGCAAAGAATTCGGGCTGTTACTGACTGAAGCAGGAATAAACACTCGATAAAACAGCAGGCGGCTGAACCGGAATACTCCACCCATCCAAGCACAGTCCTGGAGAATTCTGCTGACAGCCTGTGGCTCTCTCTCTCTTGCTTGTGCTCTATGCTCTGGGTTCTCCTCTGAGCCAAGATGCTACTGACCCTTCTTCTGTGCTGCCCATCTCTCTTTCACTGAATTTCAAATTGAGATGGTACAAATGGCCCAGATGGAGTCTTTGATTCACCTGCCAAGGTCCAGGAGAAGGGTTTTGATGCCATTTGCCATCTCTTTGTGACCCAGATGTCTTTTTTTTTTTTTACTTTCTTTTTTTTTTTTTTTGAGACAGGGTCTAGCTATGTAGTTCGGGCTGGTTTTAAACTCACTATATAGCCCAGTCTGGGCTCAAACTTGCAGCGATTCTCCTGCCTCAGCCTCCTGAGTGCTGGGATTACAAGTGTGTGCCACCATGCTTGTCTACAACCCAGATGTCATATCACCTGCACAGAGGAGAGAGAAATGGTCCAAACTCTCTCAATAGGAAGGACTCAACTGTTCCCTAGCTCACCACTGTCTTGACAAGCTCCTCCAGCCACCAGCCTGTTCTCCTAGGGCTCTCGCACACCAGGGCTGCTGTACCCACACTGGATGTGCTCCAGAATGCCATGCTATTGATTTATTTCAAAATGTTTTCTAATTTTCCCTGTGACTTCTTTACCCCTTGGTTATTTAGGAGTCCTGGGATTACAGGTATGCACCACCACACTCAGCTTCACTGTAGTTTTGACTTGCATTTCCCTCGTGCCTAAAAATGTTGCACATTTTTCATGTACCTATTGACCATTTGTACTTCTACTTTTGAGAAGTGTCTGCTTAATTCTTTTGCCCATGTGTTAACTGGGCTTTTTGATTTTTTTGGTGTTAAGTTTTTTGATTTCTTTATTTATTCTGAATATTAATCTTCTGTTGGAAGAGTAGCTGGTAAAGATTTTCTCCCATCCTGTAGGCTTCACTATGCTGTTTGTTTCCTTTGCTATGAAGAAACTCTTTGATGTATAGTAGTCCCATTTAATGATTATAGCTATTTCCTGTTGCTATAGAGTCCTATTCAAGAAGTCTATGCCTATGGTGTCAAGTGTTATCCCTATGTTTTATTTTAGCTGTTTCAGAGTTTCAGATCTTATACCAAGGCCTTTGACCTATTTTGAATTAAATTTTGTACAGGATGAAAGGGATTTAGTTTTAATCTTCTACAAATAGATGTCCAGTTTTTCCAGCACCATTTGTTAAAATGGCTATCTTTTTTCCAACATATGCTTTTGCCTCTTTCATTGAGAATCAGATGGCTATAACTGTGTGGGTTTGCTTTTGTGCCCTCTGTTCTATTCCTCTAGTCTATGTGTCTATTTTTCCCAGTACTGTTGTGGTTGTTTTACATTTTATGTTATGTAAAAAAAAATTTCATAACAAAGTAAGAAGAGAATAACAGTAGTTAATACATTGTGTATTGTTATCTTCAAAGTAGTTACTCAGAGTACAAGATATGGGCATAAAAATTCTCCAAATGATATTAGCACAAACCTTTCTTTTCAATGAACTAAGAGGAAATAGTAGTATTGCTATGGCAACAGAAACACTGAAACAACACCCAGGATTTGGAGACAGATTTATTCAATGTTGGATGGGCACTGACAAGGAAGCAATCCTTATAAAAAAATAGCCGGGCGTGGTGGCACACATCTGTAATCCTGGCACTCAACACTCTCCTGTAATTGCAGAACTTGGGAGGCTGAGGCAGGAGAATTGTTGAGACTTTGAGACCAGTCTTGGCCACAAAGTGAGTTCAAGATCAACCTCAACTACATAGCGAGACTCTGTCTCAAAAGACCAAAAAAACCCGAAAAAAAAATCCAAGTAGATTACTCCTAAAACCACTATCTCTGAAAAAATTTAAGATTATTTTGAGAAAAAGTTTTAGAGTCTCAGCGCCCTTCTCAAGGCTAGAAAAACTCTCCCCATGAAGTGTGGAGCTGATTGCCTCCTACTGAATTGTGCCTGGAAAAAACTTTAGTTTTATTTTATAATATTTGTATTAACTGACTGACTTGTATTAACACTGACTCAGATATTTGGGTTAAAAGTCAGACAAAGGAAAGCACACAGTCATGTAGAAGAGGCAAGAAGACCTCTCTTCTAAATGATGTGACATTTATTTTTTGTAAATAAGGAGGGGACAAGGGATTGAAGGGAGGGGAGGGGAATGGGGAAAAAATAAGTATGAAGATATATCATGTACAGGTACAAACTCCCTCTGATGAATGTGATCATTAAGTATATCTAAAATATATCAATAAAATTAATTTTTAAAATACGCTTCAGAAAAATGCAAAGTCTACCTACTGGAAGGGTTCTGGAATGCCAGGCTACCTGAGACTCCAGGTGGCAGAGCTGTGACTCGTCATACTGGGTATGAAAGTTTGCCCAGGAGAAGGACCTACAGCTGGACCACAAAAGGTGCAGAAAAAGTCACCCTCTCCTTCTATCCGAGACCCGACAGGTGAAAGATACTGATTCAGGCAGCTGAAGGAACAGGTGGAGACCTCACGCTCATCAGGAAAACTGTACAGTTCTATGATTTGGGTTATGTCACTGGCAGGAGGACATACAGCAGGGACAGAGGCCACCAGCCTCTCCAACTGAAAATCTTCCATTTGGAAATCATTCGTGGGACTCTCTGCGAAGTCAGAGTCTTCTGGGAGAGAGGGACACTGCGGCCTGTCAACAGAGAAGTCAGAGTCCTCTGAAGAATCAGAAGAGCTTGTGAATTCACATGAAAGGGTACTATTGAGAGTTAAGAACGCAGAAGTAAAATGGCCAGGTTTGGTGGATACTCTGAGCGAGGAGGGCTTATCGTTCTCCGGTGGAAGGATCTGGCTTGATTGCTTTAGCGACTGCTGTTCCTGCTGTTGTTGCTTCTTCAGTTTGAATCGCCTGTTCCTGAACCAAACCTAGAGTGGGGCGAGAGGGACATTGTGGTCTGTCAGCAGAGAAGGCATCTGAGGCTTCCTGGGGCGGAAAACAATCAGACTGTAGCCCTCATGCCCCCTTCACATCACCGTAACACTGGGTTTCGAGACAGCAGAGTGGGGCACAAGTGGGGTCAAAGGAGAGACAACAAGGGTCGTGCCTGGGACCCCGGAGAAGGCAGAATAAAAGGGCCTGTGTCTCACAGGTTGTGCTGGGGGTTCCAGGAAAGATCTATGGACTCTAAAGAAGGGCTGGGGATCGAGAGAGAGGTGAGGGATTTGAACTAGGGATTTCTTTTTTTCAGTCCTGGGGATGGAGCTCCGGGCTTTCACACTGAACTATACCCCTACACTCCCCTAAGCCTTTCTGAGACAGGTTTCACTAAGTCACTACATTATCTATGTTGGGCTTGAGTTTGTGATTCTCCTGTCTCAGCCCTCTAGAGTGCTGGGATTATAGACATGTCACCATGCCTGGGTTGAACTAAGAGATTCTTGAGGATTATTTCAGGAAGCCAGAATTACAAAGGTTACTCCACCAAAATTGGTATGGGCCAGGCAGACCCAGAGATCAGAGGGAGGAATTACTTGTCTGTTGCTAGTGCTGTGAATGAATAAACTGCAACGTCTGCTAGAGAAGGGTAAGGATAAGACTGTAAGCTGGATTGAACAGCACACAACTATAGTTGCAGCTATGCAGGAAGCTGAAGCAGGAGGATCTCACATTCCAGGCAAGCCTGGGAAATTTAGCTAGACCCTGTCTCAAAATATAAATAAAATGTTCTGGGATGTAGCTCAGCAGTATCTGGGTTCAATCCCCAATTCACACCCCCCCCACCAACTCCTGTAATTGCACTTCTGCTATTTTAATTTTAGTTACACTACTTGTTGTCTTGTGACCCATTTACATTGCCTCTAAGCCTCAATTTTCCTCTTCTAAACTGCATAACAGTGAGACCAACATGTGTGGCATGCCCCTCTGAATGCTAGTGTAGTAGGTACTTGGTAAAGACAGTGCTGCTACTGTGTTAGGGAGGGACTTTCCAGTCTGAATGGTCTCATGTGGTTAGGGGTACCCCGTGCATCTGGGATCAGACCTTCACTGTTTTCTCCTGCAAGTTGAGTCTCGTGGCCAGCGCCTTCTGAACATCCTTCTCTGGGAACATGGTCTGGCTAAACATGGCCTCCAGCTCCTTGTACTGCTGTTGGGTGAACGAGGTGCGTCTTTGGGTCCTCTTCCGAGTGGCTGTGGGGAAGAGAAGCGGGTGGTCACACTCCTGCTGCCTGTCCCCTCTCTCAATAAAATGAAGAACAAAACAACAATCCTACCCTGGGCCACAGCTCTGAGCCTCCCTTGCTTCCCTGTCAACCACTCTCTGATCCAGCAGCTACAGACCCTAGGTCTTGACCTTGAATAACGGAGCCCTTGGTAATGGTGCTCCGCCATCTTCCCCTGCTTGGTCAGGAGCCCCTGCCTCCCACGGCAAATGGGCTTTGTCTCTGAGGATTTCTAAGGCTCTCTTCACTCTTTTGGGAAAATGGTCATGAGAAATGAAACATGACAGTATATGCAAAGACCAGGGAACATATCAAAAGGTTTTTGTAAATAGCAATGGAGAAGACAATAAACTTTTCTCAAGAAACACCATTCCCAAAACTAGCTGAAAAGGAACTACAGACCATGAATAACCACCCAAACAGGTAAATTATAGATTGCAATGCAATGCTATACTAATTCTCCTGTCATATAATCCAGTTTAATAAAAGGAAAGGGCTTCACTTGAGCCTCACAACTACAACCAGCAAAGAATAACACTATGAGAAAAAACAATAGGCCCTGCCACTCAAGAACATACATGGCAAGAATTTACATAAAATATATATTGACTCATATTTTAAATGTACACATTCCTAGCCAGGTGTGGTGGTGCACACCTATAATCCCAGTACTCGGGAGGCTGAGGCAGGAGGATCGTTGTGAGCTCAAGGCCAGCCTGAACTGCACAGCGAGGCCCTGTCTCAAAAAGACAAAAACAAGAAATGTACACATTCCTAAATTTATATCATGTTTGAGGTCCATTTATATGTACTTAAAGTCAAATACATAAAATAAGAACTCAGAAATATTGATTTTTCTCTTTACATTTAATATAGTTATCTCACTAAAACTATTTGCTTTACCTCAGGTAGCTGTTATCTTTATCAGCACTCTGGTCCTATTGAATTACATGCTATAGCTTTACCATGCACATAATCTTTACTTTAAAATTCATTGTTAGAGCCTGGTGTGGTGGCACACGCCAGTTATCCTAGCACTTTGGAGGCTGAGGCAGGAAGATCACTGTAAGTTCAAAGTCAGTTTGAACTATAAAGCGAGACCTTGCCTCAAAAATAAAATAAAATAAATCATTAGTAGTTCATTTCTTTGAAATGTGGTTTTGCCATCTTTGGGAATTTTGTTCTAAGCTGCGAGGACCTTACTTACTCGTTATAGTAAGATAATTGCTCTCCCTCCCCCTGCTGCCCACATACTCACCCTGCAGGACTGTATTATAATTTTCACAGCCAAACTATTCTATTGCTTTAAAACAAGAAATTGACTTATTCATTTGTTTAGATCATAAATAGTACACGGTTGTAATGATTCTGTTCTCCAGCCTCTGAATTCCCCCCTACAGCTGTCTGTTCAAGTCAGTAACCACTACTCCAAATATCCATTCAGTACCTGCAATATGGTCAGTTCCGCCCAGGGACTGGATTTCTGATTTTCAGTGAACTTTAGTTAATTTAAGATTTAAAAGTGATAATCCAGCCATTGGAAAACATTTTAGTATGCTTAGAACAGCTTGAGTAAGTGAATTTAATTTTTCAACTATAAATGCTATAAAACCCAAAGATATCAAGTATTTTTTTTTAACATCAAGTATTTCTGGTAAAAATTTAGCATCTAGGTTGACATATCACAGATTGAGGTAAGCATAAAATTATCAGTAGATTTTAAATCTTAATATGTAAAGAATGTAAACTACCTTAATGAACTATTTAACAAAAAACTAGCTGGGGGTAGTGGTGCACACCTATAATCAAGCACTCAGGAAGCTGAGGCAGGAGGATTGCTGAGTTTGAGGTCAGCCTGGCCTGCATAGTGAGTTCAGGGCCAGCCTGAACTACATAGCAAGTCTTCGTCTCAAAAAACAAAAAAACCTTACGGTTTATTAATGTTAAATGCAATACTATATATACGTTATCTAATTTAATTATGTAACAAAAGTAAAGACCAAATCTTTAGATTTAGGACTTACTTGTACATCTTGAAACACTAAATATAAAAGTAAATAAATAAGTTGCTTTCTTTCCCGGCTGCCTGAGGATCTGCCCATCATGAATGACACAGTAACTACCCAGATCAGGAGGCTCATGACTGACGCACACTTCAAAGGAAACAAATGGTCACTGATGTCCTTTGCCCTGGGAAAGCGAAAGTACCTGAGCCAGAAGTGCTGCTGCCTTGTTGGTGGCAAGACAGTTGATTTTGGCCGGCCGAGCTGGTGCACGCCTGTAGTCCCAGCACTGCAGAGGGTGAGGCAGGAGGATCGCCATATATCTGAGGCCAGCCTGGGCTATACAGTGAGTCTAGGCCAGCCTGACCTACATAGTGAGAGCCTGTCAAAAAAAAAAAATTAAAAAAAATTAAGATAGTTGACTTTGGCATGATTTATGATTCTTTGGATTATGCAAAGAAAAATGAACCCCAGCATAGACCTGGAAGATACAGCCTGTATAAGAAAAAAAAAAATCATAAGAAAACAATAAGAGAAATGCAAGAGCAGAATGAGGACTGCAAAAGCTGAAGGAGAAAAGACCCTGTAGTCACCATTTGCGGCGACTGCTCAAGTTTGTCAGGACAGGATTAATAAACTGTAAAACTTCCTAAAAAGTAAATTAAATAAAAAACCTATAAGTGATAACAAGAAGGAAAGTACTGATCTTTTGTGCATGGTTTTAGACTTTTGCATACTTTCAAGTGATCATTATCTTGCTTCTGTGTTTTTTGAAGAATTTCTTTAAGTAGGACTGCATTTTACACCTAAGCTTCACAGTCAAATCTTGGCGTAACAGTCTTTTCCAACAGGTTATTTTTTATCTTTCTTGAATGGGCCTTGGAATCGTTTGTGGGCTGTAACTTCGCACTCACCCATGCACAGAGATGCAGAGGGAGCTTAGGGGACCACCAGGGTTTGAGAAGATGAGAGCCACCCCCACCTCCATTTTTTGCACGCTCCAGCTTGTGAATGAGCTCCAAGAATCTGGATAGGTCTAAAATAGATGAAGTATAGTCCCATGAGCTCCTGAAACTAGTTAGCCAAAGCTCCCTTCACAAGCAAAACTTTATGTCTTAGTTACTTCTCTCACTGTAGAGACAAAATGCCCAAAATCAAAAGTTAAAGGAGGAAAGGTGTATTTGCCTCATAGTTTGTAGAAGTTTCAGTCCACAGTTTGCTGGCTCCAATGCAGGGCAGTGTGGCAGAGGGCTATGCAGAAGAGAAATAGTTCATGGCAGGCAGAAGGCAGAAAGAAGGCAGCAAGCAACAAGCTACGAGGGACAAGCAGCAGCCCTCTTTCTGTCCCTTGTATCCTATCCAGGGTCCCCACTCTTAGCTCAAGCAGCACTCACCTCAGAGTGGGGAAGCTTTAATCCTAGTGTAAAATGCCAGCATCATCCTTGATCCCAGTATCACACACCCTACCTATGATTACATGAAGCTTTGGGAGACATCTAGACACAAGCTATACACCTTGCAAAAAAATAAATACTCACATTCTGCTGGAAGATATTGTTGAACACAAGTAAATAATACAGACAAAAGAAAAGGTTCAGACAGAAGAAGAGGCAGATCTCTGGTAACTTCAGAAGCAACAGAAAAGAAACCCTGAAGCTGAAAATCTTCCTGATCTGCCCTTCACTTACAAAAATACAGGATGTGGTGGTGCACACCTGAGATCCTAGCATTCAGGAGGTAGAGGCAGGAGGATTGCCGTGAGTTTGAGGCCTTCCTGTGCTACTAGTTAGCCTGGCCTGAATGATACAATGAGATCCTGTCTCAAATACAAAAAAAAAAAAAAATAAAATAAAAAATAAGGAGAAGAAGAAGAAAAGAAAATGTATAGGGAAACCCACTCCGTGCAAAAAAAGGCACAAGAAAAACTAGCAGTTACTGAAAGAAAAAATGGCCTGTAATCCTGGCACTCTGGGAGGCTGAGGGAGGAGGATGGCAAATTCAAGGCCAGCTTGCACCACTTAGTGAGACCTTGTCTCAAAATAAAAAATAAAAAAAGGGCTGGGGATACAGTTCAGTCTAAAGGCCCTGGGTTCAGTCCCCCATACTGCTAAATAAATGGTTATTTAAAAAAATCATATGAATGGGGAAATAAAAACCAAGCAAAAACTTGACAATTTAGAGTGTTATATGTGGCACAAATATGTTTCACAAAAGAAAGCAAGAGAAACTTTTAGACTTACCAAGGCTGAAAAAAACTGACACCCTGTTGTGTAAGATATTCTAAAGCACATCCTTTATGGAGAAGGTAAATGGTATGCTATATATGAAGGACTTATATCTGTAATATTTGACAAACTCTTACAATTCAAATGTAAGGAGAAAAACACCCCCAATTAAAAATGATCCAAGGAGTTGAATAAACGCCTAGCTACTTCAAAGTAGACTTTGAAGTAAACTACTTCAAAGTAGACTATTAGTGGGCATCTGGAGAAATTGCAACCTTCATACCTTGCTGGCAGAAATATAAGTAGTGAAAAAATAAATATAAATGTTTACAAAACATAGTGGTAGTTTCTTTAAACAATGAACATAAATGTAACATATGACACAGCAATTCCACTCCTTGGAATCTACCCTAGAGAAATGAGAGCATGTAGCCACAAAAAGACCTGTACACAACTATTCATAGCGGTAATGTTCATGACAGCCAGTAAGCCAATGACAATATGTCCTTGTTGTTCCATGACCATACAAAATGTGGCACTGCCGCACAATAGGTGCTATTCAGCTATAAAAAGAAATGACTAATACATTTTCTATCACAATGAACTTCAAAAACATTATGCTAAGTGAAAAATATATTTGCTAAGATTCTGTGTGGGGAATACATTATGTTCTTATGTCTGGTTTTGGTTGTGAGTACTTGTGTGGTGCTGAGAATCAAATCCAGGGCCTCACACATGCTACAAAAGTGTCCTTCCACTGAACTACATCCAAATCCTTTTTATTTTTTATTTTGAGACAGGTCTCCCTAAATTGCCCAGGATGGCTTAGAACTTTCTGTCCTCCTGCCTCAGCCTTCTGTGTAGCTGGGATTGTAAGTATGTGCCACCATATCCGACTTGTTTTTCTTTGTATTTGAAATTCTCTATATAATAAAACATAATCATTAGCAATTCTTTCAAAGGAAGAGGGACACACCTAGTCTGAGAGGGCGCTACTCTTAGTAGGACCTGTGTTCACCAAGCTGTGTGACTGGAAGTGGAGAGAGGCTTGACTAGCTTGGCTTTCCAGACTGGCAGATCTCATAATAGAATGAAAGGACTGTGTGAAGTTCGGTGCATTGTACACAGTGATTAGTTAAAGGTAATCGATGAGTTTGGGTGTTTCAATAGAACTATTAAATTATTAGGCCAGGTCTGGTAGCACACACCTATTATCCCAGCACTCACTAGACTGAGGCTGGAAGATTTCTGTGAATTCAAGGTTAGCCTGGGGTACATAGTGAGTTAAAGCCCAGCCTGAATTACACTGTGAGAACCTGTCTCAAAACAACAACAATAACAATGAAAAAACTATTAAGCTATCAATTTCTAAAGGTTGTTTTTATAATGAAAAGTTTTAAAAGTAAGCTTGTAGCAGGGCACGGCAGTACACATCTGTAATCCCAGCACTTGGGGGGCTTAGGCAGGAGGATTGCCATGAGTTCAAGTCCAGCCTGTGCTACATAGAAAGACCCTGTCTCAAAAACTAACTAGCTAAATAAATAAAGCTGTAGTTAGGCATGGTGGCACATGCCTGTAATCCTAGCACTTAGAAGGCTTAAGTATAGCAAAAAATGCACCCCCAGCCAGTCTGTTAGTTGCCCAGATAACAGTTCCTGTTACAAGTTCCTGTTACTTCTGTTTCTTAGAAACAGCTGGCACTGTAATGCATAGCTGGTCGCTAGGATGCATATTGTAAGAACTAATCAAAGACAGCCAAGTACTCTACCTCTGCACTTCTCCTTTGCAACTCCATAATCTCCCGCCCTGTGTGTTTGAAGCCTAACATTTTTATAAGGATTGATTCCTTGTCAGTGCCTGTCCAACGTTAAATAAATCTGCCTCTGAATCCTGGGTGTCTTTTCAGTGTTTCTGTTGCCATACTGTCTGATGCCTTGGCATGGAAGACCAAACACAGTGATCTGTTTGGTCTCCAGTCATGGCCCTCCTGGACAAAGCAGGGACCTCTCCAGGTCCTGAAGGGAAAGTGTGCCTTCAAGATCTCTTGAGTATCCTTGGAGATCTGGAGGAGCATTCTTGGCTCCCTGCTGAGTGGCTCACATTGGACTCAAAAGGGAGGAGGAAGTAGTCTGATCTGGTCACCGGATAAGGTAAGCCCTTCTGGAGCACCCCAGTTAGTCTGTCTGTCAGTACTGGTCAGCTCGAGCAGAAGGAGAACTTGTCAGGGGACTTCGAAGGAAGGGGGTTGAAATGCTTAACCTTTGAGGGCCTGCTGAATGATTGTGCTTGTAATGGATAGCAAAAGCAATAGGTCATTCTATCTGTGCTCTATGGTGAGGAGTTGGACTTCCCTCTCCAAACTATGGAGCTTGATTGGGCCCCAACCTGTGGATCCACGGATGTGTCTGATACAGGACAAAATGAAGAACTTACTGATCCTTCTCCTTAGTCAAGATGGTCCCAACATTGCCGAGAGGCAAGCAGCCAGGGCATCTAAATTGTGTCTCTCTGAGGGGCACCCACCCTTTCTCTGTTGCGCCATTGTTCAAGGGTGCACAAGACGTATGTAGGGAGCAGAAATGGGAATTAATTAATTAGTCAAAAGCTACAGTCCTGACTGCAGAGAAAAGGGCTTTTCTGGTGACTATGGAATTAAATGAAACCAAACTGCTGTTCCTTGCATCTGAAGAAAAGAGAGATCTATTCTTCCTGAGAATTCTGCCTTGAGAGATAAATCACTCTTGTTGGCCACTGTAGTTGCTGCTAACATCTATAGCTTTATTCCTTGCTACCTACTCATCTACTTCCAGCCAATTGAACCGGTTCCAGCTAGCCACTGCCTACATTTGGCCACAGAGGCTCTCCCTACATGCCTATCTTGGTCAGATGGTGTCATCTAGTGTCCGTCTGAGATGACTGTCAGCAATTCCTCTTGACTCTGTTCCACACAGAAATGTCCACATTCTGACTTAAGAAAACTGGACTGTCAGCCCTAATGAATGGGTTGCCATGGGCTTTCCTAAAGGTCACCCCACCCAGGAGCCAAAAGCCAGTGGAACACTTCTCAA